ATATTGTATTTTATTCAAATATCCAAAAGTAAACAGCAATTATAAATAGAATGAACATAGTTAAGAATATGATTAAAGTAAAAAGCAGAACATGTAGACATTAAAATTGAAGTTAGCACGTCGGCTGTTCCCCCATTTTTATACTAACCCAAAGAGCTTCTTTCCTATTAAATAAATTCAGCTGTGATTCTGTGAAATATCTCTGTTACCACAGATCCTATATACAAATTGTATATAGTTGCATATTGTTGTATACAGGATCTGTGGTAATGCTAAGGTGATGTATGCAAAATGGGCTTCAGATTGAACGCCATCACATTCATATTGATTGATCGCTCAATTTCCCCACCAAAAAGCTTTTCCCTATAAAAAAAAATCAATGCGGACCGACAAGTAAGCACTCGCTGTGCTGTAATTGGTTGAGTACTGAACTCGTATAATAGTGTAGCAGGTGTATGCGGAACGATTTAGGCGAAGTTAAAATTTTGTCCTTGTTATTATCCAAGGAGGACTGATTTTGGCCGGCCAAAATCGGTCCCCCGGACCGATTTTAGCCCGGACCAATTTTGGCGTGACAGGCCTACCAAACTACGGGAAATGGATAGCAGGGGAACAGGCATGGAAAGCGCCATGCCGATATTTGTTTAATAAGCGCCGCTCTCGAATAAGCGCTCCACCGATGCCTCAAAAAATTGTATTTGAGCATTTACGGTAAAGTTTATATGCGGTGAATCTTTTGAGTTTTAATCCTACTTCTTAAACCTTGGGTCATCCGCCACCACCTCCCCCTACTTTTTTTTTGCAATGTTCTGAACATGGTTGACAACACAACGGTCGTACAGACATGTCCTCCAGGCTGCTAGGTCGTTGTCTCGCCTGCATAGCCGAGTCGAGTTGCCGAGCGATAAGTCAGGGTGCCGCTAGCCACAGCCTTAACATCGGCGCAGGTTCTAGTTTCGTGAGAGTATCGGAATGGCAGCGATGTTACAAATTTCACGATTTAGTGTAGGGCCAAGCTTGGCATTCCACTTTAATTGTAACTAGGGCCATATAATCACAAAAGGTGCTATGCTATCATAGGCCTTTGTTTTTTATTTTGATTGCAGCAGTACAAACAAATACAAACAGTAACAGACCCCATGGATGGAAAAACGAAGAAGGGAAAACAACGTAAAAGATTAAGAGATGAGATCGATATTTAAATTTTGGGAAAGAGCAAAATGGTGCAACACAGTAAGAGAAAAAGATTGATTGGTGTCAGTGGCGTAGAAAAGTATTTTTCATGGGGGGGGGGGTGATTGGCGTGTTAGCACCAATGTATGCGCTTGTGCGGACAGGGGATGTGCCCCCTAAGAAGCTGGAAACCTTGTTTTTGCAAAATAAATTGGTGCAATTTGATGACTACTTTTAGTGAAATTTTGATCAAAATGAAAATAAAATTTACCCTTAACAATATGGCATATCTGTATCTGTGAGATATTCACAACGCTTCCTTGTTGAATGCCATGAGGGGGGTCATTGATGTGGAGCAAAAAAAGAAGTGGAAGAATAAGTAAATATTTTATAGTATGTTATTGACTTATAATAAATACATTCGCTCATGAACGAAACCTTAGTGCCTATTTTGTTTTGTTTTTATTACCACTGGTATTAACATGGTTTTGTAAAGTAATAAACATAATAAAAGTATTTATATGCGCTATAACTGCTTTAATGAAATGGCCAAACTTGATTTTAAGAAAAAGTTCCTCCTTATAATCAATAAATTCCTCATCAAACGATAACCTTTAAAAATTCTTGGAATTGACATGAAATTACTGATGTCGTATACACCGTTCAGTGTGAAATGTGGCTTGCTTTGCAAGCACATCTAACATCTAAGTAGAGCTTAGATTGGTACCAGATAAAATAATTTTGTTATCAACATTAATACATTATGCTAATTTTCATCTTTGTAAGAGCATAAGACATTGCAAATTATTTCTGTGACAGTCTTTTGAAGTGTGTAAAG